GTTTCCTTTTCCTCAGGAGACTGGTGAGGCCCCGCCTCCCCTGCCTCTAGTGACTGCACGTCACTGCAAAACAGAAGTTTGTTTCTAAACTTCTGATAGGTGTTTTCTGCCTCCACAGGCTCCAGAGGCTTTCCTGAAGCCTGGGGAAGGCGAAAAATGGCCCAATGGGCAAAATGGAAGTATAAACTTCTGGTAGGCCCTTTGAGCCGTTTTTTACCCTCCCTAGGCTTTAGGTAGCTTTCCTGAAGCCTGGGGAGGGCAAAAAACAGCCCAACAGGGCTATCAGCAGTCCAGATGCTTCAGTGAGGGGGTGTTGTTCGCACATGCAAAGGGGAGGGCATTGCACTATGGGTGTGGGCATGCACGCACGCATTATTGTGCCCGCTTGCGCCTTTTTGGCATCTGAGCAGAAAAACTCTGCTAGGTAATTCCAGGAGTTGAAGTTGCCAAATTTGAAATTCACTTATCTGGATCATTAGGAAATAGAACAGAATTAGAATGAATGTTAGAAGATTCTGTAAGAAATGGCACACAAGTATTAAAGCCTTGAGGAAGCAGTGTATGGATTGGTTCAGGTTATGAAAGATGTAATCCCGGGCATCTCCATTACAAGACAGATCCATTACAAAATTATGTGTAAAGAATCAAATATTTGATTAACATAATTTTATAGTTGTGAATTAAATATTATGAGAATATATCAAAAGATTTTATAGAAACTACCATTTGAAATTAATATTTAAAATTTGATAATACAATCTGGAATAAAAATGAGAAGTATAATAGGCCACTGTTAAGTCCACCTGTTTGCTTGATGACAAAGTCAGAAGTACTTCAAAGGATACATATATCAGATTAATCTGTATCGGGAAAATCAGTTTACTGGCATGTATCCCTCTAGCAATTCTAGGCTGAAAGAAAGAGAGGCCTCTTATTCTATGGAGTATCACTTGATCAAATAAAATGTCAGGAAGTTCTAATCTCTGTGGCATCCAAAAGAGAAATAACCAGGGACATCTAGAGCCCAGACAAAGTGATTTTCCTGCACTTTATCATCTTCTTTTAGGCTCCTCCTCCTTGCCTCATTGAATCCAGCTTCAGTCTGCTTAGGTGGCAATACAGTACTGAGACAGAGGCTTGGTGATTAGAACCTGTGAATAAATGGCAAGCGACCCATTTAAGCCCAGTGCAAGAAAAGTGTGAGAAAGTTACTTAAATGCTAGTGTGGAAAACTGAATAAAGGAATCTGTATTTACATAGCAATTCTAACATATAGGATTGGTTCTCTTTAAATGTCAAAGTGCAAATGGAATGTGTGTGCAGCAACATTTTAAAAAAAATCAATGATCAGGTATCCCTGTCTCCGGAGTTCTAAATCACCTGCCTTGTAAATATTTCTTTGAAAAAAGTGGAAGGAGAAGATTGAATTTGTCGAATTTGCCACTTGGTTCTTCCTTTGTTAGACCAAACATTTTGTTTAGATTTTTTTTTAACCAGCTCCCACAGCAAGTTACCTGACTGAGCTCACAAATCGAGAGTCAGCTTATCAAATTTCCTAGCACTCTTAATTGAAAAGCCTGCCAACGTAGGTGAAAGACGTTATACATATGTAAAGCAGGAAGTTCAAATTACATCGCCTGTAGAGTCTTAATGATTGACGGCTATTTTTGAAGAAAGGCTCTTTGCAGCTAGGGCAAGGCTTTGTGGGAGTCCCTTGCCCTTCCGATGACAAGGGGAGTTCTAACATCCATTGTACTTCGTATTCTGATTTCTTTGGGCTTTCTGCCCTTTCGCAGAGGCCACGAGAAGGGTGTGTTCGTGTGTAAGGGGAGGAGGAGAGGGCACAGTGGGAGGATCCAAAAGAACTCAGTGCCACAGCCATTTTGTTTGTGGGCAGCATGGTCGAACTCTGTCAGTCAGTATGAGGAGGGGTTTTTAAATAAGTCTTTGTGGAAGAATGATGCCTTTTATAAAGGGTGTTTCTGTTAAAATGAATATCCTTAGGTCTCTATGACGGTAGGTACAGGATAACGTTTGGCGAGGGGGGGAAATGAAAAAAAACCATTCATGCTCCTCGGGTAACCCCTCAATATCAACTCTTAGATTTCCTTTCAAACCCCGCCAGATTATTTAAGGAGGTGTATCTTTCTGCAAAGTGTTTTTGATTCCGCTTTAGATTCCACCAGGCACTTAGGAAACGTGGTGGGGAAACGAACAAGATTAATGAAAGCGTTTCTTAGTTGAACATAAAAGGTAAATAAATTTTTAAGGTGGGAAGAGAAAAACACCGGAGTTTATATGAAAATTGGACTCTGTGTGTGTGTGTGTACATGCGCGCGCTTTTCTATTTCTCCCTCTCCCCCCACCACACTCCCCCCCCCCCCCGTCCATCAAGGACAGTTGATCATATGAAGGAGACTTAGAAAAGGTTTTGAGCTGTTGTTAGGTAGAATCCCGCGAATACAAAGCCCGGGCATTTGGTGGTTGGTTGGGTTGGGGTGTGTTTTAAAAGACTATAAAATGGCACACTGCATTTCTGCATTTTTCCAGGCTGCAGAAGAGGGGGGGCGGGGGATAGTGCAGACTGTGTAGGGACACTGCCCTTCTAACCAATCAGAGCACGCCTGTTTGCCATTACAAAGTTGTTAACCCCAGAGTCTTCTGGCTCCTGCTGCCTTTGCTTTTAATCTTTGGATATTTCTCAGGTTTACTCGAATCCCCCCCACCTCGCCAGATATGGAGAAAAAACCTTCGGAAGCGACTGCCGACCATGGGAAGGAGATTCTATTTTCATTTGCAAAGGTTTTTAAAGATGTTGGATGATTATTTCGCTGCCTGGAACTGGTTGATTGTAAGGGAGAAACTATACACAGACTCTTTCTTTCCAGTCGGGAAAAGGCAGCTGGCTGCTTCCTTTCGAGGTAAGTTTTCTAATCCTTCTCACACATACGCACACATATACACAAACACGCATAAAAAACGTCGAAATATTTCTTACATGTATGAATCAAATGTAGATTTTTTTTTCTTTCAAATGTGAGAGCATTTAATTATTAATGACAAAGGTTGGTTCGTTATTTTAACCATTAAGAACAATTGTGTTACTGTCTTAACGGTGAATAAATTAGACCCCTGTACTTGAGCCATTGATGGAAATGCCAACAACAGAGATCTTTTCAAGGTGGAGTTGAGTCTCCAGGGAGGATAATTGTGTCCGGAGCAGAACACATATTTTTACAAAAGAGGAACTAAGTACCTTAATAAAGAAATGTACTTCAGTTTATTTGAGTTTGAGATTAATTGGGAAAAGCCTCCTTAAATTGGATTGTTGAAAATTGTGCTTCATATAATAAAAGAGGAGATTGATATAGCAGGATTTACATTAAGTTATGTCTGTTACCAAACATTGTTTTTTTTATTCCCTAATCGGCTCTTTTTTTTGTTACTTGCTTTAAAATCTTTTTATAAAAATATGAATGATGGTACTGCATTGAAATGTCGTGTTCTTGTGAGAAGATTCATTTATGAGACATTTTGTAATTTTGGGCAATTTTCTGGGTTTTTTTTTCATTTGTACACAGTGGGAAATCTTTTTTGTTTTGTATTGATCTATGTTGGTGGCGCTGTGGTGCTCCTAAACAATTTATGTTCGTCTCACCAAGAAAAGAGGGGGGCAGAGAAAGGTGGGGCAAGATTTGATCTATTGTATCATAATTTCTTTTTTTCTTATAATAAACCAAGATTTAAATATTAATATATGTATTATAGTTTGGATCCTGTGCAATATATGCAATAATCAATATACTTGGAAGTTCAGTGTACAGCATAACAGAAGTGTCGTCACAGTCCTTTGTTGTTCTGTGAGACTAGAGGCAGGGTTTGGATTTTTGTTACTTGCTTTAAAAAATCTGAGGTATGTGGAGAACTAATTCATTATTTAGTCATGGCTTTATCTTTTCTGTAAAAAGATTTTCTAGTAGCTAAAACCAATTTTATATTCTCTGTAGAAAGTGACTGTTTTTATTGTGCTATAGATTCATTATTAGATAAATGTTTTTCATAATACTTGGCAGAGTCTTAAACCCTTTTTTTTGTTTAAAAAAGTAAAAAAAACCATAATAAATAACAGTTTGAGATTGCCTTTTTAAAAAAACACATTGTGTGTATTTTTAAAATGTTCTGTAGATAGCATAGGCTTTAATTAAGAATAGAAATAAAGCTGAAAAAGACAAATTTTATATACATTTAAAAATTAAGTAGTTTTTCATCTATTTTGAATACATATAAACCATATATATATGATACATATATTAAGAATCAAATACCTGTTTCCTGCAAACATTTGTAAATTTACACAGTATAAACAAAAAGATACAAAAAAGCTGGAAAGATACATTTATACCTGAACAATTCATAAAGTAAAAGGATTTACATTATATAATTTGAAATGATCAAAATACCTGGGGAAATGCAACAGGTTAATAAATCTATTAAAGTATGGGAAGGAAGGATTTTTTTTCTTTTTAATCTGTAGTTAATGTGAACTTCTTTGAATAATTTATATAAGTTTTATAAAGACAGTTTTAAACACAGGATGTTGTGTATGTACAAAAATACTAGCTGGTATTAAACATGTTCTTCCAAAATAGTTCTTTCTTGAAACTGAAGCAATATTTATTTACAGATTAAATGGCACCTTGTAGAATGTATTTGAGTATTTCAGAATTAATATTAGTTAAATCACATTATTCTTAGTTAAAATGTGTAATTAAATTGTAACATAAGAATTTATATGGTTTAGTTCCCTATTTAGCTTATTAAACCTATATTTAAGTATATGAATAACAATTGTTTTTACTAAGCAGAATATGCTTTCATCAATTATGTCCTCACTATATAATAACAATGGCTCTTTGAAAAGACCAATCATGGATGTTCTCTTACAGATCTAGGAATGCAACTCATGCAGCTTCCATCTCAATAAAATGTGGCAGTGCAGCATATGATTGCACCATACAGTGAACAGCTACCTTAATATATGGGTGCAGCCTCTATAGTCATTGCTGGAAGAAAAGGTGTTTAAATGTTTGGCTTTGGAAAGCCAGTTGTCATCCAGGTTGAGGTAGAGACTTCCATTTACTCATCATTCTGTATGCATCCTGATAGAAAAGATTGCGTTCAGACAGATCATATTGTGCAAAAGGTTGAATTTTGGTTTTTGTTAAATCTGTACCATATACCCTTTAAAACTTCAAATAGTTCAGATTAGTATATGAGAAAGATACATTTACTTGTAAATTATGTTTTTTATGTTTTTAAATCACAAGGTTTTTAAGAGGTTTACTAACAGTTAAATCCTTTAAAAAATAGTAGCTCTTAGGATTGCAAAACATTTAGAATTGAGACTTTTTAATGACTCTAGACTAGTACTGACCAGTAAGGTAAAACAGCTTAATGTGGAATATGTTTGTGCATATGAATTCATACATAAAAGAATTAAATCAGGTTTTTAAGCTATTTCATTAAACTACATTAATAGACCCTTGACTTATAAAATGCTAAAATTCTTTTTTTCAGATGGAATGGTAGAAAAGCTTGATTTATTAGCAAACACAACTAAAAAAATAATTTGTCCAATTAATACTTCATAAATAAATCATTGAGTTACTTTCTTGCATTGTTGTACATCATAGTAGGCTGAATTATATGATGTGGAGATTATAACTTGACATGGTGGCTACACTTGTGATGATAAGAATGAAGAGGGGAAATTATTAAACTGACTCCGGATGAATAAAGTGGGGTAAGATTGATAGGATGAATGAACAGATCAGAAAGGTATTAACACAGACAGTTCTAATGTATAATTGTGGGTGTTTTTTCAAAGAGAGGTAGGAGTAAAATGGCATAAAGTAAACCAATTTACTAAACTAAATAGTGAAAATTACTGGAAGGCAGAAAAAACTATTGAAAAGGACTAGAAACTTAAAAAGCATTAAAGCTAACATAAAAATGAGAAAAATTGTCTTTAAAAAGTTGTGTTAAATTATATTTAAGGCAGTGGTTCTCAGTCTGTGGCATGTGCAGACCCCTGGGAGGCCATGATGTCATCAAAGGGAACCCACAAAGCCTTGAAGAAATGTTATGATTTAAATCTTGAGTTAAGTCTTGAGGATCTGTGGCATGGTCCCTGACCACAAAAAGTATTTAAAGGGGAAGGGGAGTCTATGGTGAAGAAAAGATTGAGAACCATTGCTTTAAGGTATATATTCTATAGGTGGCCGGGGGGGGGGTGGGGCAAGCTAAGAAGTAAAACTTCTGCTTGGGCAGAATTTAATTTAAACTTTAGGTTTTCATGGTCCACCTTTCATAGCGTTTTGGAATCAAAGTTTAGCTTTCCTTCTGAAGAACTACAAATGAGTCTGCACATATCTGAAATTCTAGAACAGGATTTGTAATTTAAAAACATACTATTTGAAAAAAATATTCACTGCATTAATATTTTTAGACAGATTACAGTTTTTGGATTTTTAGTGTTGTGAAATTCAAATTATATTTGTTACTCTTGATACTTTTTTCTGAATAGCAATGTTTATTTTCTGAACGGAATTGACAGAAGCCTTAATTCAAGAAATGCTTCAAAGACTGTTAATACTTGTATTGGTAAAATGTACAACTGATGCTGAAAAGGTGCAATTTTGTATTTGCTGTGTGATGCAGCATAATAAATAACAAAAAGTAGTTATAGATATTTCAGTTTAAGGTAGAATTAAAGAAAAGACCTATAGATGGATCTATTTAGCATATCTCCCCAGGCATTACAAATGGCCCTTGTGCCATGGACTTCTCATTTGGACTAATATTTTTGGTGATTTGATCCAATAATTCATAATGCATGGTGATAAATTGTAGCCATTTGTGTATTCAACTCATAATTACAGTTACATGTTCACTATTAACTGAATCAAACGCACCTCTAAGTTAATTTTATATTTTCTCAGAAGATAGTTGCATTGCATTCAATTTACTTCAGATAAGTATTTGTGAAACGGTGAGTTCAGGCTCTCCATGCTGTCCAAAGGAAGCCTTCTGTCCCTTCCTGTACAGAGATGAGTAGAAAGGTTGTTAAGCCTTAGCCACAACTGATTAAACAAGATATATTATTTAGGTGGTAGGTACCTGAAGGGATGCTGGTAACCTGGCAGGAGAAAAGGATTAAAGTTGACAATCTGGAGAAGGCACAGGATTTATATGAGCAACTAGTAGGCCCAGAAGAAGAACAGAGCAGTAAAGAGGAGATGGAATATAGAAGCCAAGAAGAACAACAACAGAGAATAATGGAGAACAGGGAGAAAGTAGTAGGGAGGAGGAAGAACAACAGAGAGAGGAGGAAGTGAGACCAAAAACAAGGAGCCAAAAAAGAAACTAGAGTTAGTAAAAAACAAAGACAGCTAGAGAATTAGGCGGATGGAAGAAGAAATTCAATTATTGTCAGTAAATATTAACGGTTCAAATTCGCCAACAAAAAGAAAGCATATCTGGGCAAAAATAACAAAACAAAAGGCAGATATGCTTACAGGAAACACACATTAAAAAACAAGATATAAAATACCTGGAATGTCCTAAATTAGGAAAATTATAAGCAGCATCAGCAGAAGAAAAGAGAAAAGGGATAGCGATATATGTTAAAGATGGAATAAAGACAAATGTAATTTATGCAGATCCAAAGGGAAGAATATTAATGATAGAGATATGGATAAATCAAAAATCACTACTGGTAGCAATATACGCCCCAAATGAAAATCAGAAGCACCTTTATAAAAAATTACATGAAAAAATTAAGAGAAATAGCTGCATAATAGGATATTATAATGCCATAGTAGACAGTAAAAAAGATTACGTAAGTGATGAAAAAAGTATT